AAACAAATATATATATTTTTTTAGATTTTAAATTTTACAATTTTAATTGTTTGAATAATTGCAAATAAAAAATAATTCAATTTGTAGAAATACGTTAGAACTATGTATAAATATGTTTTTTTTACTTTTTAAGTTTTTTCTGTCTGTTTCTATGTAGATTTGTTTGTAGATTTAAAATTGATTGTTTGAATAATTGCAAATATAAAAAATTCAATGTAAAAAAATGTATTATAACTATCGAATACATTTTTTCCAATTGTTTAAAAATTTTTTTTTTGTATTTTATAAATTTTTATTTTTATTTTTTTTTTCTTTAGATTTTAAGTTTTAAAATATTGATTGTTTGAATAATTGCAAATAAAAAAAAAATGTTTAAATATGTATATACATATGTACATACATGCATGAAATAGTTTTTTTAAATTTTACAATTTTGAGTGTTTGAATAATTGCAAATTTAAAAAAAATATTCAATTTGGATAAATATAATACTTATAAATAGAAATATGTTCGTAAAAGTGTAAATGTATGCCTACATATGCATACACATGCGTGAATAAATATATATATATATTTAAATGTATGTTTGTATAAATCAGCATGTAGATATATATGTAGGCATACGATTGCCCATGGATGTTATTGCGTGCATGTATGTGTATGTTGCAGGTAGCTATACATATCTATTCATTTGTGAAATGTAGCTATGCATGTGTGTGTGCGTGTTGAATGTGTATGAAAATGATATATGTGTGTTCATGTGCATGTATGTACATATGTACATATGTATATGAGGTATTCCTATGTTTATGTTTGTACTTTTCGCAAGGCACTTCAAGCCTTATATGTATGTGTGTATGTTGTGCATGCATGTGTGATTATGTTAATTGCGTGTATATCGATATGCATATCGATAGATTGCAGTGCGCGCGCTGCTACCAATAAGTGTTTGTGTGGTGTTGTGATGTCTGGAAGAACTATTTGCGCACCGCGCCGCACTTGTAGCACATGCCGCCCAGCCGGGACGCGGGACATGGCGGCGGCGGGATTGTGGAAGCGTCCGCGGCTGTGGACTCGTCCGTGGATGGCTTTGGTTTGCGGCGTGGCCGAAAGCGTTTATTTCTCTCGTTCTTGTCGGCCACCATCTTGGCGAGTATCTCGTCGCGGCGAACCTGCAGGTCGATCCACTGTTTACAGGCACGTTTCAGTGTCTCCTGATCAAAGGTTTCCGAGGCCAGCTTGATACCGGCGGTCTTGAAATCCTTAATCAGAGCATCGATGACCGTTTGTTGGTTCTTCACTTTGAAGAACCAAATGCCGCCATACGGCTTTGAACCAATTGGCATCGCTTTCGTTTCATACTTTCGGGTTTTGAATGGCGCTGTCTCTCGGCTATCATCACTGTTGACGAAGGGCGTCGTCGAGCGATTATCTTCATCGGTTTCTTCCTCCAACGGCGACAATGCCGATTCTTCATCGAACTCGAAGTTTTCGAGTTCGGGATCATATTCGACTTCGTATTCGTATTCGTAGTCTTCTAGCTCTGAACCATCTAGATATTCCTCTTTGAGGTATTCTGTCTCTTCACCCGCTGGCTCTTCACCACCTACTGCCCCCTCAAGATCGGGCTCCTCACCTGCTGCCTCCTCACCTGCTGCCTCCTCACCTGCGGCCTCCTCACCTGCTGCCTCCTCACATGCTGCCTCCTCACCTGCTGGCTGCTCGTTCTGGCGGTTGCTTGCTTCCGGTAACTCGTCGCCCATCACCTCCACCTCCTCTTCCAGCGTTGACCTCGGACGCTCTATGTTCATCATATAGGCCTCCCTAGGAAACAAGTACCGCTTCGGCGTCTTCTTGCCCTTCCACTGGCCAATGAAGATCGGCGGTATTACCGGATTGTCGCGCATGAACTGCGGCGGAGCATCTTTGATCAACTCCATGAACAGGAGTCGCGACAGGCTGCCGGACCCAAACACACAGCCGGCAGAAAAGCCGGGCGGCAAGTAGCGCCTTGGCAGATGAACTGGTTCACTCAAGACCATGCTAGATTCATTGCTGAAATATCTGGCTGGTAAATTAACCTTGGGCGTTCGCTCGGTCAGCGCAGCTTCGGCCGCACTCGTCACGTGCGGATGGATGAACTCGGAGAGGACGGTGACGCACAGCGGCGTCGAATGGTACACCATCATCGGCACGATGCTCAGGTCGGGCACATAGATGGTATAGTCGGACCTTATACGCTGAACAGAGCGATCCACGTCGTCCAGCAAATCGGAGTGCGAAATGATGTAGCCAAGGCACATCTCCGGGCCCAGGTAGTTGGTGGGCAAGACGACATTATCGGGCGTCGCCAAGTCCAGAAAAGTGGTGCTTGTAGCCGTCGAAGCATTTGGCTGAGTCTGGCCTGGTGGCAGGCGACAGCCCACGAACAGCGGAGGTGTCATTCCACTGTAGCGCGATGGCAGCAGCCCGTTCGGATAGAGCTTGCGGCTCAGCACGCCGGTCGAAAAAATGCCACCAGCCTCGAAACCCTTCGGCAGCAACTCCACTGGCAGATACATTATCTTATGGAGAGGAGCGTTGCGTGGAAACAATTTGGCCGGTATCTCGAACACTGGGCAACACAGCTCCTCCGACTTCTTGGCAGCCTCCGCATCGTGACGATGCTCCTGCGGCGACAGCGTGCACATCACAATCCCATCCATTTCGATGTGGCGCTTGCCAAAGGTCAGCTTCGTCAAGTTTGGCAAATAGCGTGGATCCTTGTTGAACACATACGGAGGTTTTTCGCTCTGATTCTTCTTCTTTCTACCTGTTCTCGACAGAAAAAAAAAAATCAATCATATA